GATTTATTAAATAGTAAAACCTTAAACTTTTTTTAAAAACACCCCAAATGAATTCATTCTTTAATTTGTAATAAAGCCTTCTTGATAAGTCTGGAGGGAGATAGGTATTTGTTTTTAAATTACATTTTATTGGAATTTTGAGTTTGGCTTTTGAGATACTTCAGAGAATCAGCAAAATATATCATGCATGATTGTTTATTTGTAGGAGAATACAGAAAACACAAAAAGTGAAATAATGGATGAGGACAAAGAAAACGTACACATGAGGAAAATAAGTCAAGAGGATATAGAAGAAATTTGGCGAAACATCATTTTGATACAGTAAGTCAATAACAAATTGGAAATGGTTGGTTTGTGTATGTATGTTTTTTCCTCCCAGTATATATGGATTAGGCTATTTTAGCTACAACATACTGTCGGAGTGGAAGGTACATCCATGAATATATGCTGTGTTAATAATCAATGAGGTAAACAAGAATTTGTAAGATTTCCACAGATGGGTGCTTTGTTTGTTTGCTTTGTGATACAAAAAGAGTGGTTCTGCTAAGTAATGCAAGATACCCATGCATTTTTCTAATATATTTAGGAAAACTGCTGATATAAATATTATAGGGAGTGAGAACTGCATATTGAGTGGCTGTTTTTCTCTTGTTCATTTCCTTCATGGTGCTTATCTGGCATGCTTCCTCAAACATTGAATTTATTGCCTGCTTCTTGTTGTTGGCTCTTTCTATCAGGTCGGACATCCCTTTTATCATCTATGACATAAAAACATACCTTTGACAATTGGAAGCATTGATCTTGGACGAAGAACTTAGAGTTTAATAAAATGTTGATATTTTGCTTCTTGAAGAGGTCTGAAAGTAATTAGCTTGTGTTCACATGCTTTCAAGACTTCTGAAAAAACATTTGTTCTCTTCCACCCCACAGCTTGCAAACCATTTTAGGTCTACCATCTTTGGAAGAAGTCTTGCATTCAGGCCAAATAATTCCTCGATATGTCATATACAACATGACTAACACAAGTAAACATGGTGTTGTTGTTCTGCAAAACAAATCAGGTTTGGTTTTATTTTTGACATTTGCTTCAAGGACCAGTATTAAGTTTTTATCAAATGGGGATTACAGTAATTAACTATAGTAATACAGTACTTAAAACAGATTTGCGTAGGTTGATAACTTCTATAGTCTCTTTATATATATATATATATAAAAAGAGGGGCAAGTGACTATATGTATCCATTTAAAATCATTCTATGTATTCTTTTAAAACTAGTTAAATTCTATATATGAGCTTCCTGTATTTAAAGTTTAATATCAGATGGCTAGTGTATAAAGGATAAAATGGTAGTTGCTGAACACTTTTTTTTTTTTTTTTTTTTTTTTTTTTTTTTCAGAAGACCTCCCTCATTGGGTATTGTCAGCTATGAAGTGCCTTGCATACTGTAAGTTGTACAAAATAGCCTTTAAAATTTCAGATATGAGGAAGTTCATCTTGGGGAGCAGAAATTCCAAAGTGTTTGCTTATGTGTAAGAAGTACTGTGCTCTTTTACACTAGATGCAAATTCAACTATATCTAACAACTTCATGTATTCGAAAGCAATAATAGTAGGCTGGATAAAACAATTCTGTACAAAGGTGACTTCTAAAGATAATGAAGTGACGTGGTATACTTTAAAGAAGAAAGAGATCCTATGGACCGATATGTTGCTCCTAATCATTGAGTAGATCTCCTAGTGCCAGTTTGCACTCTATGGATCCATGCATGAATCTCTTTCTACCTTTGCACATGTACTCCATTAAAGATAATGGCTAGGACAAAGTTGCAGCACAGTCCTCTCAAATCTAATATTTTGTACATAAAGAGGAAGCAAAACATAGAGGCACATGTTCCTGTATTGTAGAATCAGTATAGCAAAATTAAGTAAATTCTCTTGAGAAATGAATGGGTGTCACTTCTTTCTATGCAGTACATTGTTTATTTCAGTCTTTTGGCTTCGAACAGGCCTGAAACAGGCTTTTTAAAAATAATGTAAAAATTAGCAAAGTTTATAAACTGAAAAATACTTTACACTTATGCAGTGGGCTAACAGAAATGACATCACTTGGGCTTCTGGGATGTCAAGCTTTCACTTCAAATAACCAAAACACACACACACACACATACACACACTTTATAAATGCTGTTAAATGAATATATCTGAGTCTTGACTATGTTGAAAGTCTTATATTCTGCTGAATTCTTCATCAATTGTACAGCATGTCTCAGATGTAACTTTTTGTTTGTTTTTTTGGAGAGACTTCAAAGATCCAGGGAAAACATGAGTTTGACCATATCAAGTTTCCTGCAGATCAGGAAGAAGCAGTTTGGGGCATGTCATGATATTTCTAAATGACATGTCATGTCTCCCAACTCAGTTTTCACCATTTCATATACACTTGATCTACATTGGTGCCTGTGTCATTGTGTGGCTTTATTGCTGCTCCCCCTCCCCCCAACCTCCAGCAATGCTCAAAAAGCTATGGTGGTGCCATTGATTATATATAGAAAATAACTAGGGATGTTAAAGTAACTATGTGCACAGTTAACTGAAGGGTCTGGGCTCATCCATTAACATACACGGTTACACGCAGGCTCCTGATGCGCAGAGGCTCCCAGACAAGTTTTTCCCCCCCCCCCCATCCCCTTGTTGCTGTATCTGATACAGAGGAAGCAGAGCTGGCTTAAAAGCCAGCTCCCAGCATGCACTGACTCCTGGGGAGCCATCTGCCTCTCACCTCTATCCTGCTGCCTCTGATACAGAGGCAGCAGCCTGGATGAGTAATAGTCAGGAGCCGGTACGCACAGAGACCTGGCTTTTACACAACAGCTCGAGTGTAATTGATAAAAATTTCAGCAGTTACATGATTACTTAAACACATTTTAACATCTTTATCTATAACTGTTTGGTAGCAACTGCAGGAAGGGCCCATATGGAGTTACTAGAACTTGATGTTGAGTTTGCAGTAGGTGATTCATAGAAAGTGACATTCCCACCTGTCCTGTGCACAGCCCCTAAAAAGTCATAGTCAGTCTGTGATGAGGGGGAAAAAAAGTGGGGACAGAGCAAAGGATGCTGCTTTGTTTCATCCTAGCCCATCTTTAAGAGGGTGTATGGTAGAGACCCATCTGCAGGGGAACACTGGTTCAGTTTATTCTCTCCTTGTCCTTATTCATGCCCATAAATTGTTTAATTACATGGTTCATTACCCACTTTTGAAAATGCTGTATTGAATGAAGAGCAAACCTGAAATGAGCAGATGTAATTATCCCCTGGGGGATACTGGTGAATTAAATTTGCTGTTATTTCACCAGTTATGTGAAAGTAAGCTTTCAGTAGTGATATGTGCTTTAAAAAAAAAAAAAAGCCTGCCTGAAGTTAAAACAAAAATACTAAACTTTAGCAGCTGTACTAGTGAATTGAGCCCTAAACTTCTTTATGATAAATCTTAGTTTATTTTGAGATATTCAAAATAGATATACGTTCTTGTAACTTTGTTTTATTGCTTATCTGTATGAAATCTGTTTGCTTTTGCATATTTGTGGGTTGATTGTAGTCACTAACAGAAAAACTAAGATTAATTGTTTCTTTTGACTTTTAGGGATGGGGATGGGTGAGAAGCAGAAAGGGTTGAAATAGTCAAATAAAGGACTTCCTCTAAATTATTAATATTGAAGTATCTATCTTCTATAGTTGATCACAGCTTCTTGATCTGTTACTATATAAGCAATTTTTTCTTTTATTACTGTGTTTTTACAAGTCATGCAAGGCTGAAATACTGGTCCAATGTTTTTACAATAAATAGCTGACATGAAACTCCTTGAGAAATATTAGGCCATACCTTACTTCTGCAACATTAGCAGAAAGTATTTTTAACGTGTAATTATGGAGAATAGAACTACCATGATCCTTCTGTCCTTACCTTTTTAGGGCCTAGAAGTAATGACATGAGCCAGCCAACTTATGTTGGTTTTGAACGGGATGTATTCAGAACAGTCGCTGATTATTTTCTCAGTCTACCTGAACCATTGCTTACTTTTGAATACTATGAACTGTTTGTGAATATTCTTGGTATGTATAAAACACATTTTTAAGTGTTAAGTACAAATTTGGGTCTAATGGGTTACATAAATATAATTTGTGAGAGGAACTTGGGACCCCTCCAATTTGTATGGTAGTATGAATTTGTGGGAGGCCACTAGAGCAGTAGTATTTGAGTCAAAATAATACTACATTCCTGTAACAATAAATCTATATAAATTATCTAGTCTGACATTTTCAAAGTATAAAAACCACAGTTTCAATTAGTGTAAACTAATCCTAGTCTTCTTTTTCCTAAAAGCTACATGTGACATTTCATTGTCCTTAGACTTGCATGTATGAGCTGCTTTGTTGCATGTACTTTTAATGCTTAATTTTTAGCCACAACTAACAATGTGAACTATATTAATGTCTTATATTCGTTGACTGTTCGTTTTACTTGGCTACTTCAGTGCATTCTTACCTTGTTTTCTTTCACATTACTTGTATCTTAACTTTTATTTCATTTTCTGATAGTTGTGTGTGGCTACATCACAATTCCAAATAGACCCAGTGGAATACACTGTACCCAAGATCAGGTGTGTGACCCACAGCCTTCAAAAACTCTGCACTTGAACTCTTTCAAGTCAACTGAATGTCTTCTTCTAAGTTTACTTCGAAAAAAGACTGAAAAACAAGAGGAAGAATCTGATTATTCTGGAAATATTTCCCAAAATGAACATACTCTTCAAAAAGGATGTACTAAAAAATTACAGCACTATAACTTGGCATATAAACGAGCCAGTGATGATGACTTTACAAGAAGAACCTGTCAAAATCTGTTAGGTTTAAAGAATGAACAGGTCCAGCCTCTCAAACATAGGGCAAGATGCTATTCTTTGGGAAAAATTGCAGCTACTACTTCAAATGTTTGTAGTGTAATGGGATCAAATTCCCTCTGTCAATCTGACATTGACTTATCAGGCACAAATAAAGAAAACACATTTATACGCTTTGGGTACAAAGCAGAATCACTGTTGGATCTTGGATCAGATAGCACTGGGCAGAAACAACCATATGATTTCAAGAGAGTGTCTGCATCATGTGTTCTGGATCAAGAACTCTGCAGGTCTCATAGTTTACTTGGAAGCAATAACTCCAGAAGTTGTGGTGGCATGAATATACCAGTTGCTGAAATCACAGTAAAACCATATCAAATAGTTCATCTTGGACCAAGGAAATCAAGTACTACCGGTGTGCTTACTACAGTAAAAAATGAGCCTAGGGATTCTAATATCACAGTCAATAAAAGACTCTGCAAAAGTACAGTAGAACTTGCAGAAAATTCTTTTACTCCAGCTTCCTTTATGTTGACTGGCATGCGAAGTAAGACTGCTTTCCAAAGCATGTGGTATTGGCTTACTGTATGTTGACTGTCTCAGCTTTCCTACTTTCTTTGGTCCTGTTGTTGGGTTTTTAAATAAACCAAACCATGAAGTACAAATTTTGCTAACGAATACAGGTTGAACCACTATAGTCCAGCACCCTCAGGACCTGATCAATGCTGAATCAGAGAACTTGCTGAACTATAGGAGATCAATATTGTCTAGCAGCCTTACCAACACTTCCACTGTTTACAAAGCTCTCAAAAGACAGGGGTAAATTAGGGCTAAATAACAGCACAAACTCTGAGAGATGGGACTGGGGACTGTAAACAAATTTTATGAGACTGCGGGAAACTTGGCTGCACACATAAGTGGACATCCAGCTACTAAAATCATGCTGGACCATGCATGTTGCCAGATCAGAGAGTGCTGGACTAGAGAGGTTTAACCTGTAGTCTAATGCCTATGAAGTAACTTAACTAATTATATTAAATACAAACTTTCTTATCTTTCTATCACCATTTGGGGAAGAGAAGATGTCTGAGCAATTTGTATTTTGCTCTTTGTATATACTGAGATGCAGAAATAGCTTCAATTATGTTCTTCTCCTGGTCTTGACTTGCATCAATAATACATATTAGAAAAAAATAAAGTGGGGATGAAGACAACACAAAAATGTTGAAATAACTTTGATCCTTTTCTACGTTAGAACAAACGGTTCTATAAAGTGGCTGCTGTCTTAAAAGAATAATATGAAATTGATTATATCTTTGAATAGCTGTCTTTTATATTATTTTAAAACTCCTTCTGTCTTTATAATTATTAACTTCTAGATCTTCTCCAGCCTCATTTAGAAAGGGTTGCTATTGAAGCACTACAGATATGTTGTTTATTGCTTCCTCCGCCAAATCGTAGAAAGCTTCAACTCTTAATGCGTATGATCTCTCGAATCAGCCAAAGTGTTGATATGCCTCGACTTCATGATGCAGTGGGCACAAGATCTCTGGTAAGACACAAGAGCATTGATAGCTTAATATATTCAATAGCACAAAAATAATGCTTAAATCTGAGAAAAAACAAGAATATTCAATGTTAAAGGAGGAATTTAATTTTTATCTTGCTACATCTAGTATGTAACACAGATATGTCAGCCGTGGAATACTTGTGAAAATCTTTATTGAAGTGAGCTCTCATTTAACTCTATCTGAACATTATCTAAATAGGTTTAAAGATTCAATATCCTTTTTGCTTCACTGATTTCCCATTCCTTCTTCACCTCCCTGTCACTAATTAAATTGATATTGTAAATTAAATTCTTATGGAACCTTAATTGCCTCTGTTTTACCTGATATGAGCACAAAACTTATTTGAAACTCAAAACTATAAGCTTTAATTAATCATAAAAACTAGAATTATATCCTGCTCTCATATGAGAATCACATTGTTTCAAATGGGGGGGAAATGGCAGATTGCTTCTTTGCTCATTAATATATATTGATCGTTCAAGAAAGTGAGGTACTGTGATGCAAATCGGTAGCAGGAAATGCAACACAGCGCTGCAGGGAGAGGGGGAAGAATTCAGATACCATTGCTGTACATACTGACAACCTGTTAAAAACTTCTAGATGATACAGACTTTTTCTCGATGCGTGTTATGCTGTGCAGAAGAAGTGGACCTTGATGAGTTAATTGCCACAAGATTAGTTTCATTTCTAATGGATCACCAGCAGGAGATTTTTCAAGTTCCAACTTACCTACAGGTTGCAGTGCAAGATCACATAGATTCTCTGAAGACAGTTCAGGTGGGTCCTGTGACAAAGTTGAAATCTCTTCGCTAATTGTTTTTTTTTAATTGTAGAGTATTAAGCAGTTACTGTCAGTTTAAAATACAAAACTATATTCCATTCCTTCTTTTTTAAAGTACACATTTTCTTGCAATTAGTTTCACAATTAGAGATAAGCTTTTTACTTTTTCTTTTTTTTCTCTCTCTTTTTTTAGGGGGGAGGGGGAGGGCACAATTTCACTTTTAAAACATGTATTTAATTGTTACCATTCTTTTTCAGTTCCAATATCCAGGGGAAGACATTAGTGCCATTTTGCCATCTTATTCATATTGTACGCGGATATCTCCTCAGGAGTTTGATGAACAAAGAATTTCTAACTCTCAAGCTGCAGTTGCAGAACTGTTGGAGAACATTATCAGGGACAAAAAGTTCTCTCTGAAAGACAAAAAGAAAAAGCTAAAACAGGTAAAGGAAACTGACTATTGTTTCTTATCTGGGGTGGGCTTCAGTTTAGGGGTTTTCTTAGAGCACTTAGTTGTAGTGTGCAAAATGGTTTAAAAAATTCATAGATGTGTAGAGAATTACTTATCTAATTACTAGATCCTAGCACATACTATTTCAAAATGGTATTTTCTGTGTGGAGACAGGAAGGAATTCCCAGTGCATCCCGAGCCTTGCTAGTCTCATAGCAAAAAGAACTGGGTAGAACATAAGAACGGTCAGACTATAAAGGTTCATAGTCCAGAATCCTGTCTTCCAACAGTGGCCAATGCCAGATGCCCCAGAGGGAGTGAATAGAAACAGATAATCATCAAATGATCCCACTCCTGTTACCCATTTCCAGCCTCTGACAAACAGAGACTAGGGACACCGTTCCTGCCCATCCTGGCTAATAAGTATTGATGGACCTAACCTCCATGACTTTATCTAGTTCTTTTTTGGACCCTGTTAAAATTCTGGTCTTAACAACATCCTCTAGCAAGGAGTTCCACAGGTTGACTAAGCACTGTGGGAAGAAATACTTTCTTTTGTTTGATTTTAAATCTGCTGCCTCAGGTGTAGGTAATAATTTGGAATGGATATTCACTCTGAGATTTTGGAAAGTGGTCAAGGGCTGCATTTCTATGGAGGGGGTGTGCGGTCTGGGATGAAGGTTGGGTGCAGAAGGGAGCTTGGGATAGGAGAATGGAGTATAGGAGGGGGTGTGGGGTCTGAGAGGGGGCTGTGACCTAGAACAGAGGTTTGGGGTGCACAGTCCAGGGGAAAGGAGTATGAGTGCAGGAAAGAATTTTGGCCTGGAAGAGGGGCTCTAGGAGTGAATGCAGGTTCTGGGAGAGAGTTGTGACCTGGGAAAAGAGGTACAGGGGGTTTGGGTCATGGCCTGAGGTGGTTAGTCAGAAGGGAGAGGGAGAGTGGAGTGCCAGAGGCAGGCTCTGGCTCGGAGGCACTTACCTAGGCGGATCTCAGCCAGCAGCCTGGAACAAACCTGAGGCAGACAGTCTGCTGCAGGCTGCTTGATACTCCATGTGGCTCTGCCCTGCCCGGAAGCTGGCACTGGAATCTTGCACAGGAGGCCATGAGGTTGGAGTGCCAGGCAGGCAGTGGCCCAAGCGCATGGCCTGAGTCAGGAGGCAGTTAGCTTCGGGGACTAGGACCAGGAAGTGAAAGCAGGGCCAAAAGCAGCTGCCACCATCAACCCCTGGCCCAAGACAGGCAACCATGATTAGCATCAGGGCCCCGGTCCAGCAATTAGAAGCGGGGCCAAAGGAGGCTGCTGCTGCCACTTCCTGGCCTTTCTGCAGGGGAGTTGGGGACAGTGGGGATCTCAGGGTGCCCTCTGAGGAGGGGCCGTGGGGGAACTCCAAGCCATGGCTGCTGCTTCCCTTCTGCTTCTGTGAAAGCTGTGGGGGCAATGCAGGGTGACCAGAGGCAAGCGATGGTGGTGGCTTCCCCACTGGAGCAGTGCAGAAAGCCTCTGGTGCCTGGAAGCAGCGCACAGCCCCTCTCGTCCTTCCACTTACCCTTCCTTCTGTGCCTTGCTCCTGCCCCTCTTCCTGTCCAGACATCCTGTCCCCTCCCCTGCTTCTGCCTCCTTTCTCCTGGCCAGATACCCTGCCCAACTGGGGCCCAGCCCCCATCTGGTCACAGCATCCTGGCCCTGATCCTGGGACAGGCCCTACGGTCCAGCCCACATCTGGCCGCAGGAAGGGCTGGTGGCAGCCCCCCTCCTGCTGCACCATGGGTAGCGGGGAGGATGCCACGAGCCGGCTGTGGCGATCCTGGCCAGGCCCCTTGTCCAACCACTACTGCCTGGGTACAACAGCCCAGCCCCTGGCAGGTAAGGTAATCGGGCTCCAAGGCCCTCACTCATACTCTATTTCCCTCCTCCAGCACCCTTCCCTTTCTGCTTCAACCCCCAGCCCTGAGCCCCTTATATACCCCTACTATGACTCCAGCACTCCCACTTCCCATTTGCTCCCCCAGCAGCAACAGCAGAATTCCCATTAAAGTCTGAGTACAATGTTTCATTTATACTATTAATCATATCAATAATATTAAGTTGTATATTTTCAGTCATTCAAATAGGCATTGCTGTACGGCTCTTTGTTGCCCACTTGTTCTGAATTTTGATGTAGTTTGGCTCTTGGGTTTGAAAAGGTTGCTGACCCTTGCACTATTTGCACCAGGTTTCTTGTTTCATTTTTGCCACTGGTTCTTAACTAGGGAACACTCTGATATAAAATGGGTAAACAAAAAGCACAAAGATAAACAGTGGGTGTGGTTATAATTTTAAGAACTGATCATTCATAAAGGGAAACCTTCTGATAAGTAACTAGGGCTTTCTAACATACTGAGAGTTCTGGACAAATTACATAATGCTTCAGGTTATCAGATATTTCTAAATTCTACTAATCTGCTGCCTAATAGCCAATCTAAAAGCTCAAAAACTTTGGCAGGACTTAATGCTGGACCATTTTTTTTTCCTCTTCTGGAAAATGTTTGGCAAATATCTCTGATCACTGAATAGTGTACTTGTCACAGAATTTACTAAGCATGTCTTGTGACTCAAACCCAGCTTCACAATAGCAGCTTTTTAAATCTTCAAGTTCCCTCTCCTTATCCCCCAGCCTCCTCAAGAAGAATGATTTTGTAAAACTTGACTGTTTCTTAAACTTGGTCACCAAACTGAAAGGCTAGCTCTCCATTTATTAAATTAATTTAAACTAGCTGTATGAAATAAATTGTAGAGCACTGGTAGTTTTAAACCTTTTTACTGTCCCCCTACTTTCTGTGGAGATAGGAGGGAATTCTTCATGCATCTCTTGCCTTTCAGCTTTGCAAGGTTCATGCTACAACCTCTGCAGAGCAGGGCGTGTAAAGAGTGTTCTAGCTATACATTTGCGTCCAGTGAGAATGGAGGGGGGGAAGCTCTCCCCTTTTATCTCACTACATTTGCTCTAAACTAGCCCTATATGCATTTGTATTTTTGGACAGATTTTGCTTTGGTGTTGTGATACTGAAATTCACACATAGCTCAAGCTGAGGCCTAGGCCTTGCAGAAAGCCAGCCTGATAGGAGTACAGCTCTCATCTGCACAACTACAGCACACTGTAACTGCTAAATAAAAATACTGTGCTGGAATAGTTGGTGAATGTTATTTCTTCATTATACCTGAAGGCAACCAGAAAAGTGCTTATTTCTTCTCAGACATTTTCTGGCACATTGCAGTAGAGATGTAATAATATAACTGTTTGAACAGTTAACCAGTAAGCCTGGGCTTATCGTTTACCATTAATGGTTACATGCAGGCTTCTGGCCCCACTCCCAGGGAGCTGGCTGCCACCTTATGCTGCAGGTTCTGTATCAAAAAGATAGAACTCATGAGCAAGGTTTAGGCATGCCATCCTGGTAGGTATTTATAACACCTTTTGGCTTTATCTACTCTTGTAAGCCTCAGCAGTGCTTTAACACAGGTGTTTGGTCATAGCAGCAACTCTGGGAGAGAGCTCTAAGTAATCCACCTCCAGAAGGGGAACAGCTAATAGTGCCTGTTTACACTGACACTTTCTATTGCTGTACTTGATGCACTCTAAGGGTATGTCTACACTACAAAGTTAATTCGAACTAACAGACGTTAGTTCAAACTGACTTTCATAGGCGCTACACTAGTGCTCCGTTAGTTCGAATTTAATTCGAAATAACGGAGCGCTTAGTTCGAACTAGGTAATCCTCATTCCACGAGGATTAAGCCTAGTTCGACCTAGCTAGTTCGAATTAAGGGGTGTGTAGCCCCTTAATTCGAACTAGTGGGAGGCTAGCCCTCCCCAGGTTTCCCTGCTGGCCACTCTGGCCAACACCAGGGAAACTCTACTGCCCCCCTCCCGGACCCGGACCCCTTAAAGGGGCACAGGCTGGCTATGGTGCCCGTGCCAGGTGCAAGCCTGCCAGCACCCAGCCAGCAGACCCTGCACCTGGCAC